TTCATCCTTAACTTTGTAATTAGTAAAATTTTATTTTTATTCAATTTCCTTTCATTAAGCAGTTATAAAATTGTGAAAAGTTGATGAAATTGTAAAATCATTTATTGCTTTTCTAATTGATTAAATTAGTGCAGTATGGCCCAGGAAGCCTTTGTATCAGTAAATATAAGCAAGTCAATCCAATTCAATTGATTAAAAGTTTTTCATTATATGTTTTGTATATATCAATTCATTATAAGTGAAAAGTAATAATGTAATAAACTATTATTTGAAAAGTTTGTCAAGCTTTATTGTATCAAGAATGAAATAATTTGTTTTTGAATGCAGCTTAAAGTAATTTATTCATGTTGATTTAACAGCTAAGTTACATCATCATGAAATTTTTTATATAGCAATGTAACTATTCATCAAGATTTAAAATGTGATACTGATGTTATGTGGAAATTTGCATATTAATGGAATGAATAATAAATGATTAATAATTTTGAAACATCATCTGTACAAATACGTTTTGAAATTATTTCTTATGAGCATGAATGCAATGTGCAGTTAATTAGTTTTCATTTAGATGTACTATTGTAGAAGTTTAAAGTTTGCAGTAACTCTCATGGTAAATTATTTTTTTGCTATATTTTCATAATGCTATACTGCATGTATGAATTTTTTCAAATAACAAAGAATTATTATTAAATATTATCTCTGTAATATATGATTTATTTTTATGTAATCATATTTTTATTATAAGATTGAGAGATTTAACATCAATATTAATAATTATAGTATTTCACTATTTACAATAAAAATAAATTATCTTTGCCAACTATGAATTTATAAATAAAGACTTAAATTGTGGCTTACTCACCAGTTAATTTAATTGTGATAAAAATATTGTTATATGACAGAAATAACTTGAATGTTAAGTCAATATATGAACAAGTTTATGCATTAAAAATAATGTATAAATTAGCATATCATATTTGTACATCAACAGATATATTGAAATTGAAAGAAACTAACTAATTAAAATGCTCATAAGTTTATCTTTTAAATTTTCCTTATTTTTAATTTTTGTTTCCTATTATTAATATAAATTACCCTCCTTTTTTTAAATTTAAAATATAAAATTTTAAAATTGTGAAAGTAGAAATAAATTTGTAATATGCCAATAAATTAATATATTTTAATTTTATGAAATAAAAATTACAATTACACGAATATTTGGTATTACTATAGTTATTGATTTTATGTTATATGCTTGAGGTTGAAAAAACAATTTTGGGCTTTATCAAATANTTTAACTTAAGGAGAACTTATAAAAGTTATATTTTTGAGTAGTAATGTTGAATTGTTACATGCAAATATAATTCTCTTCAAATAATTTCAACATGATTAATGTGTAAAATTAATGAAAGAAAAAACATATAACAAAGCCTTTATTATCATAAAGTACTCAGCAAATTACCAACAAGAAATATATTTATTTCAAAACGTTTGTTTTGAAATAAATATATTTCTCGGCAAAGATAAGGTGTTATTTATATGTTTAACAAAGTCTTTATTATACAACATATCATTTATTTTGTTTGTATAGTACTTATATTTGACTTGCAAGTGATTTTAAATAAATTTATTGTATTCCATAGCTGCCAGTCACAAATAATAAAAAAACAGAAGATTATCTTTAGCACACAAAGCTTTGTTTTAATTTTGATTTCAAATCAATAGTAATAAAAACATAGGGATACTTTTAAGTATTTTTAAGAAATAACTGTTACTAAGTAAAGTAAACTATATATTTGAATATTATAATATAATTCTTTTTAAGAAATCATCTACTATGTATATATCATAGGATGTGATATATTAAAAACATATCAAATCCTTCCTGAGCTTTGTTCTAATTTCCAAAAAATTATTAATACTATTTTTGATATATACTTGAAATAAACAGTAAATTATTTCTTTTGATTATTATTAGATCAAGTTGAAAACATTGAAAGGGGAACATTCAACATATTTCCACAGAGGTAGGCATTATTCAATTATAGTGATATGACATTTTCCACCAAAATCTTTTTCTTGAAACTAAATAATGTATATAAAATAATTAATTTTGTTAAAAATGTAATTGCTTTTGGAGTAATTTTTCAGTATTGCCATTACACTGATTAAATGGGCTAAAAATCATCATGTAGCAGAATTATGTTGGCAAACATTGTGGCAATGCAGACCTTGCTACTATTGATTAGTAAGCAAATCTATTAACCCTGTGTAATTGGTACTCACTATGTGTGTGTAAACTCATTCATTCTTTTGCAAGTTTGAAATCATGTTGATGAATAGGTAGTAAATACACACAATGGAATTGAGCCCTAACTATATTATGATGTATAATGAATCTTTTAGTTTGAAATATTGATTGGAGGCAATTTCTGTCTTCAATTTATAGTTTACAATATCTAACATCAATTAAATGTTGAAGAAAAGGACTTACATACAAAAATTATATACTATTTTTGAATGGATATCTTTATTCATAATGGCAGTTTTTTTAAAAGACTGAATGGATAATCATGGTGAATTGATCCAGACAGATAATGGGATGGAAATTGGCCAATACTTGGATGATTAATTACTGCCCTATATTGGACCAGATTGTTCACAAATTTCAAGGTTATGTATAAAAAATATAATTTTTGAGTTTTTCAAAATATTACTGTTTCTTGCAATAAATTGCAAAGTAAAAAAATATGTCATTACTGAAAAAATAAGACACACATGATGGTGTTAGAAAATTTTTTGGAATAAAATTGAAATAAAAATAATGAAATGAGGATTCAACTACTCAAAACTGGAAATATCATAATAAACACTCCACACACAACCAATATCCAGCAATAAAAAATTACAAGAAAGTGTGTTAAACACAGGTGAAAACATTTGCTTTCTTATAATTTCTTCTTGTTGGATATTGTTATATGTGCAGTGTTTAATAAAATATACAGTAGAGCGTCAATTATCCAAATCAATTGGGGACTGGGATGGTTTGGAAAATCGATATTTCAGATAACCGATTATGTACGAAAAAATATATTAACCTATCTCATGTTGAAATTTTTCTCCGTTGCAACACGCAACGGAGAAAAATTATACTTCAGATAACAACGATAAAAATCAGATACAACAATAAAAAATTATACTTCAGAAGTTAATTTAGTATCAAAAACGTAAAATATTTGAGTAGCCCAAGACATAGCCAAAGATTGCAGCGCCACAGCACTGGCAAAAATTTAAATTTGCCGACTGGAATTCTTTCGGATAATTGACGTTTTGGATAATTGACTTTCAGATAAACGATGCTCTACTATAGTTTTTAAAAAATTATTCCAATGGTTAAAACAGGGTGACAGTTTCAAAAATTTTTGGAATCTTTATATTACCCTTTATTATACTATAAAAACTTGTCAACTTCTTTTACCAAATGCAATGTAGTTAAAAGAAATAAAATTTGAAAACAATAAAAATTGTAATCATATGATTACAGTCTAGCTAATGTACTATGAATGAATATTAGACAGTAATTAATCACACAGTGATACATGATTTTGGATCAGTTTTCATCCCATTATCTGTCTGAGGCCAATTCCCCATGTTTATCCTACTATAGTCTTTAAATTCATTAATTTCCAAATGATAAGTTTAGTAATGGAAAAATATGTAAGAAATACAAATTAATCTTGCTTAATCTTTATTTTAATGTACTGTACATTGATGTATATAAAATCATTAAGTATTTAGTATAAAGGATGAATAATTCAACAAAAACTCGGAATCAAATGCATAAACTTAGAATATAATTAAATTAGAATTTAATAAATTAAACACATTTCATTCTGTATTATGAGATTGTTTTGTTTGCCATAATAAAGTGATTAATATTTTCATATTTATATTTGTTTAAACTGCTAAAGTTAGTTCATTCTTATAATCCTCTTAACTTCCTAATTTTATAACAATTTCAAGTCTAAATGCTGTTAATTCATAGATTTTTCTGTCAATGTAACAGTCTTATTGTTATAGTTCTGACCAAGAAAAACATAATTAAATTTATATTGTTATTTTTTTCACTTATAACAATTATCATTAAGTTACATTGCTTCAATAAGTTTACCGAAANCATCAACAATTATTATAATTTTAATCTTGAAGAATAATTATTGTAGACTCATTGTACAATTTAAAGTTTCAAACTGCATGAACTTTATGCAAACAATATGCTGCAGAAGTTTTCACTATGTATAACTTATTTTCCTATAGAAATTTCATTATCATACAAAATATTTATTAATTCTGTTTTTATTTTTATATAATATATTAATACAAAGTAACTGAGTAGAAAAATGTGATGCAGTTAACAATTTTAGGTTTTATTTTTAATTTACACAAACTTCATTATATTAAATACTATAAAAATATCTAAATAATGACATACATTGATATAATTATTAGTGGTCATTTGTAAAGGATAATTACATAAACAATAATAATTTTTATGAATTTTATTTCAAAAACTTAAAAAAATTGAGAGTAATATTACAAAATGACTAAGTTTATATACATATGTATCATAATGTATATAATAAAATTATTGTTCTAAATATTTTTCAAAACAATAATTAAAAATATATGTTGAGTTTCAAAAAAGTACTTATTTGATTTTAATAATTAGATTTTGAAACATGAGATAAATATAAAGAAGTACTATATGAAAATATTAATAAATATGTCTATAATTTACTAATTTTATCAAAGGACATTTTTAAACCATACTAAACAGTTTCTTCTTTAGTTTATAATGACTGCCATTTTACTTAGAAATAAATTCAATCTATGAAAACTTGTAACTTGTCATATAACTGAAAATGAAAATGTTAAATGACCAATTACAAACAGAAATTTCTACTTTAATTATAAGAAATAATTAAATTATTAATTAAAAGTGTAAAAGATATATCTGCTTCATATAACAGTTTATGGGTAACTTGACATTCATAAGTGAAATAATATAGATACGAAATTGTTGAAAAATAAACAAGATGTGTAAATTTGAATTGAACTTTAATTTTCAGCAATCAGGTGGAATTATCCAACTTGATGGTACAAATGATACAAGTGATGAAGATGAAGAGGAGGATGATGATGGTTTTATTGACAATGAAGATAACAGAGAAGAAGACGACGAACATAATGATGATGAAAATGATGCTGAAGAAGAGGTAATAAAATAATGAATAATTTTTAAAACCAATAAAAACTAAAATCTTAAAATTATTGGTTTGTTTTACTCTTTGACAAAGGCAATCAAGAAGTAAAATAAACCAACAATTATAAAGTTTTAGTTTTTATTGTTTCCATCCCATTGTATATTTTAAATGAATAATTTGTTTAGAAAAAAATTAGACATTGATCATTCATAATGCAGTACATATTAATATATTTTTGCAGAATAACTGGCATGCCGCATAAAAATGGGAGACTAGCATGCCTGAAAACCCTGGGGTTATCCACATGCTGGTTAAACTGGGACTAAAATATAAAATTAATCAGATCTAACAAAACTAGTTGTTAAAGAATTTAATTAAACATTAAAGAAAACATTCTTCCAAGTACAATAAAATAACAACATTGTAATTTGACTGACTTAAAATCAGAAAGAGTTTTAGTAGAAGTAGTAGTAGTAGTAGTTGTTGTTGTTAATCAGTGTACCCTGACCTTACAAATAACATCTTCCTCTCAAATTTCATATAAAGCTGATGTTAATGGATGTAAGTTGAGATAATTTACCAGGAGTTTCTTACATTTAATATGTTGTTTTTGCTTTTGAACTCAATTACCATAAAATAAACATAAAAAGCACTTTCAGAATTCCACAAATATTTTATATGGTTAGAAAGAAGACAAAATGAAGAAATTAAACATATAATCATAGTTTTGATGTAATGCTGACAGTTTCACAGTTTTAGAATAAAAATTTGTTCTCTTTTACCTGACATAATGCCTTAATTTTTTTTTTAAATGTGCCCTGTAGAGAGAGATGTATAACCTTACTTAAACTGGCATGCTGGCATATCCCAGCATAAACCATCATGCTGGTTTTAACCATACAAAAATATGTGCTTTCATGGTCTCCCCTGGATTGACTGGCATGCCGGTCATTCTACGAAAATACAGGTTATAAGATATTTATATCAAAGACTGAAAACAAATTGAAAAACAGATTTAAAAATTACTTTTATTTAAAAAAGTATTTTAATGATAAATTAATGAATTTCTCAAATTATTTTGCTTAAAGCTGTTCTCAAGTCTGTATTATTGTGAAAAAGATTAAGCAGTCTGTATAAAATGTCTACTTTTGTCAATATATTTTCTATAAAAGATAAATATATTTATAAAATATAAATGTATTTAATATTTATCTTTTATAGAAAATTTCTTAGAGTTGTTGTCATTTTGTAAGTTTGTATGATCTAATATCTTCATAAACAATCTTTAAAGGAAATGCATATTAAATATTATATATTTTTACAACTTCATAAATACATATTCATAATGAATATTAATGAGTTTTAATTCTTATAACTTATTCTTTTTAATAATGCAATTAAAATCAGCATGTTTTTACTCTTAAAAGATATGAAATTAGAATATGACACAGAATAAATATATTAATATTTGTATTAGAAAAGATGATATATTTGTATTTGGGCAAGTCAAATGAAAGTAAGCCAATTAAATTTCTTTGTTATCTTGTGTATTTAATTAAAAAGCATTAAAAATAATTGCTATTGGTATTGAGGCATTTATCCAGCTGTCTGACCAAACTGGAAGCCAAGAGCATTCTACAGATACTGGAAGCTGGAAGCTAAGGGCATTCTACAAGTGTTTCTAGAATTTCCTTAGCTTCTAACAGAAGAAAGTTGTAACTACCTCCTGTACTTCATTGTCCAGTGTGAACCTGCCTTTTTTCATGTTACTGAAAATATAAATCTTACTTAGAAGAAGTAGAGCTGAAAGAAACGAGGAAGAAACAAAGATGAAGATGAGCATATCAGGGAATTGACCAGAGTAATAGTATATAAATATAAAAACATGTAAAATTAAACTATTATGTTAAGAAAAATCAACAAAAATCCAGATGGTGCATTGAAAAAATAAGATGATAATACAATAAAAAATATAGATAGATAACCTGTAAAAAAAAATGTTAAGAATTACAATTAATCAAGAAGCAAGTTGCATCATCCAAATTGTTGATTGATGAAAATGAAAATTAGGTGGCATATAAAGGTGACAGGACAAGTCCACTTATTGAGTGATGATATCATTACACAAACCAGGTATTGCAGTTGAGTATTCCAACAAAACTCATAGATATGATTGTCTCTATTGAAGGAGATAAACAGTTTTGTTTGACAAGGTAAAAAATAAGTCTGAAATATAACAGAATTGATGAAATTTTGAAAATAAAATTGTTGTCAAAGTAAAGCTCTTGATGATGTCAAGAAAGTCTAAAGTGCTTAACTGAATGGTTAAATAAGGTATTGAGAAATGTTTTTCCGAATGGTTTATCCATTCACTTTAAGTGTTTGGTAAGGACTTGTTTAAATTTGATATTTCATACCTAGAATTTGTCTGTTTTTTATTTTTTATCACAAATGCACCACTCTTTATGATTGTTATATTTTTAAAATTTTGCTACAAAGTTTTTGTTAAAATGTTTTTACATTTTAACAAAAACTTTTTACATAGAATTGAATTATAATAATTTTTTAAAATTAAATTTATCAAAAATCTATTTATTACATCAGCTAGTCAGAGAAATCGATCAGCAATGAAATAAAACAAAAAATTTTGAAAAAAGTAGCTTGAATGACAGTTAGTATCTAGGTTAGTATCTTTGCATGCACTGTCTGGAAGCCATTATGTCCCACCTGCTGTCACATGACACAATGTTTATTTTTAGTCATATGTGGTTCCTGTGCTTTACAGAAAGTTTCTGATTAGTTTATTTCCTGGATGAATGTTAATTATTTTATTTAAGAAAATTAAAATTCTGTATAGTTTGTAAAGATACTAGCGAGGTTGCAGCTGATGTTTAACATGAAAACATGAACGTGAGGCATTCAGCGCCGTCATCTTGTAAGTCTAGAAGTTTGACAATAGCATTTGGAAACATCAGTGGAATCATGCTCAACGTTCCAAACACCATTGTCAAACTTCTAGGCTAACAGGAAGCTGGTGCTGAACATCTGACATTCATGTTTTCGTGTTGAAAAACATCAGCCACAACCTCGCTACTGTATCAAAACACCATTCAAATTAATTAGTTTGACGAATTAGAGTTAACCAGTTTGATTTAATATATCAATCCTTATGCTAGACGATGGGAGAAAGAAAATGACTTCAAATAAACATGACTTAGACCGAGACTCCACTACCGTAAAAATGGCGTAAAACCCCTCGCCGTAAAAGCCTTTAATCACATGACCCTGATATTTTATGCCCGAGCAGGTTGTAAAACCAGCATAAAAGTGAGTTGAGCAGTGTTCAACTTCCGACGCAAATATGGCCGTAAAGCAGTACCTTCCACCAATCAGAAGTCAGTGAAATCTAGGTCATTGTGACACAGAGCTAAAAATGGCAGAAAACGAGCTTTTGTATACGTTCCCTCGTGGCTACTCTAGAATAGATCTGGAAAGATTTATCGAAAACATCTGAAAGTATTTGTGTATCTATGACCCGATTATAATAATGGATGTCAAAGGAAAATCCTTCAATTTAGAGGAGTATATAATAAAAAAGCTAAGCTTATAAATGCTGTATATTATTTTAATAATACAATAATAAAAGTTAATATATGAAAGTAAAGATATTATTTTTACTACATTTGTAATTATAGTACAGAAAAAACTCATAATCATTGTCTTTGTATTGATATATCACGTATACAACTGTCTTCCGTTTCTACCAATTCACGTACGAAGTATTTACTTTCGACACTTGGGGCATTATTGTTGCCGTAAAAACTTTGTTAGCCGGACCTCCACTGCAATCCAGACGCAAATGCAAATAGGTCATGTGATTAAAAGCTTTTACGGTGAGGGGTTTTATGCCGTTTTTACAGTGGTGGAGTCTCGGCCTTAGAGTTATTCTGGATTTAGTATTTTCTTATAAGCAATACAGGCATATGAAGGTTTTCTTTGTCAAACCTATATATACATATTACATTTTCTAAATTAATTTCAAAATAATGGCTTGTGTCTTGTAGAAACTTATTCAGATTTTATATTCAGCTATTTTAAAATAATAATATATTCAGTTTCATTTATTTGTTTGAGTTTATCTGAATTGTCTAATAGTATTAAGCTTAAAAAAATTGTCCATTGTGGTGCCACTCCATTATTCTGAGCAGCAGGTGGCTTTTAGTTTGTCTGTATTGTCATGCAGACCATGTTTCAGATTAATGAGATTTTTTTTCATATAGTTAATTTTTTGAGATTGTCTTTTCCAGATATTTTGCAATGAATTTTCAATAACAAATGTTTGAAGATAAATTGTTGTACAGGTACTAAACTGTCTCAGTTCAGTTTATTTAAAACATGTTATTGTAGATGTATTTTGCTGATTCTCTTAAGTTCAATCATTTTTATAAAATAGGAACTGTAGCAAATAAACTAATCAATACACTGAAGAATTTCCTATTTGAAGATCATTTCAGTTATGGACAAGTCCCATTCTTTAAAATCAGAAATGTCTAATTTATTTTTTCACAACCAAGGAAGTTTAGTGTTTGCTGAGGATCATGAAAGCTCAAAGTAAAAAAATAATCGTTTTTGTACAGAAAAAAAAATTTTCAGTCCTTGAATCTTGGCACTATGATCAATATATTTTTTACCACTTCATGGAAACCAATTCTTGTAAACCATCTTGATTGGGATTGTCAAAAACCTTGAATGTCAAAAACCTTCCCAATTAAGAATGTCAAAAACCTTCCCAATTAAGATTTACAAAAATTGGTTTCCATAACAAGCAGGAACAGAAAATATATATCTTGCTTGTTAAATTTGTTTTTTTATTTGTTTAATCAACTGTATCAGTTTCATGTAAATGAATATTTTTATTAGGACTATTTTCTTTCAAACATATCTTTAACTGGAATTGGAAACACCTGTAATTGATACTCTTTTATTTCAAAATTAAAAATTAATGAGTAAATTAAAACAGTAGTATTATTTCCTGAAATTGGAGGTTCAATAAAATGTTTGTCAATATACAATATGTTAATGAAATAATTGTTTTATACAAATTTTCATTTTATAAATTATCATAAATATATGTATTGCATAATTATATAAATATATTATGATCTAACAAAGTATTTAGATATTGTTTATTACATTATAATTATAAAAACAATGAATGAATGAATAAATATTTTAGGAACCACTTAATTCTGATGATGATGATACTGAAGAAGATGCCACAGAGTTATTTTACACTGAAAATGTTGTTGTTTGTCAGTATGATAAAGTAAGTAATCATTTAAATTAATATTTAGATTTTAACACACTTTCTGTGAATGCTCAAGTACAAGCATACGACAATGAGACAAACTTGAAGAGAGTATGTGTGCATGTGTTTACTCTATAGAGCCCACCACATGTATCATGTATATATATATATAGGAATTATTAATTAATACTAATTCATTCGCTGTCATTTAGCATATATCTGAAGTAAGAAATGCCAGCATACATCATGCAAATAATGATTACAGCAATTAACTTTGAATGTTTTTAAAGCACTGATTAAAACTGATAATGATAACTAATAAAGATTGTGCATTATCAGTCATGTTGAGGCTGATGAGGGAATGACATGATGTTAGGATCACTAATTTTGATCAAACTTGGTGAGGATATAGTGCATCCCCAACAACTGACATGTGGTAAGCAGTATGATGCACTACTCAAAATTAAATGAGAAAATTAAAATTGAGAATTGCAAATCACTTAAAACATTTAGAAATAGGTGGATTTTATTATTTAATTACCCTAATAGTAACTCAGTTTTTCTCTCTAACTTTTTTTCCCTAAATTTATAATAAATTTAAAAGTACCAAGAATAAAGTGAAAATTATAATTTTAGTGGAAATCACATTGATACCAAAGAGATTTGAAACATCAACCTCATGCTTATGAATCAGCACATCCCCAACAAACCAGTGGTCACTCTTTAAATGATGGAAATCCTAAAGCACGGGTTCCCAACCTATGGGTCGCAACGGGTTTTCTGTGGGGTCGCCAACTTATGCAGTAAACTAAAACAAAATTTTCACTATAATGCAATATTTATTTTTAATGGTGTCTTAAAGTTCGAATAATTTCATATATTTTTAAAAAATTAAAATAAGTGTAATCTGGGTACGCTGTTCTGTCAGTTGGTTGAATCACGTGTTGAGAGTTTTGAGAGGAATAAATTAAATGTTGAGAATGACATGAGGTTGGCGTTAACAAAATCTCACTCGCGAATTTTGAGGCTGGTTAATAATACATGCAATTTCAACTATCTCATTAAATTAATTATTAAACATAATTTAAAATAAAATTATACTAAAAAACTAATTTCATTGTTTTTTAATTACCTTATTAAAAATACCTTTTTCAATTGTATCGGGGTCGCGGGTCACTTGGCTTTTATAAAAAGGGGGTCGCTACCCAAAAAAGGTTGGGAACCATTGTCCTAAAGGTTTCAAGTGATTTTCAGTGTTAAATTTCTTATTTAATTTTAATAAGTGCACTTAACTCTGCTTGGCACATGTCAGTTGTTGAGGATATAGGCCATCTCCTTCCTAGTGTGAGAAAAAACCTAGTGATAATGCTATCTATAGTTGAAATCTAATTACAATAAGCAATATTTTATAAGTGTACTATATATACATACATACATACATACATATATACGTGTGCTGGGCTGTGAACGGCTCACGTATTTGTAAAAGCTAAGTGTCTAAGTGACTCGTACAACATGGAATTCATATAAAACAGAATTATTAACAGTGTTATAGGGGGGTAGTATACATACCCCTTCCCCTATATATATATATAGGAGAAGTTGCCAAAATCCTACTACTAAAGAAAATTGGATTCTCAAGGAAATTTTGTACGCTTATATTTTAAAAATATATTTAGGCCAAAAAATAATATGGCAATGTCGTATCTTTGCATTCTAAGGCAATAAATCTATTTATAATTAGATTATTAATTACATATATCATATTTTTTAAAGTGGCCAAAAGATACAATTTTGGCAGCTGGTATAATAAATTGTACTGACCTGTTTCTTTAATAGTAAAGATTTCTTTGGTAATAACATGCGGTTAGTAATAAATTAATTAATTTATTTATTTAATATTGCATACTTTCAAATACGTACACTTAGTGCAGTAATAAACATCATCATTGCAAATCTTCTTCAACACTCATTAAAGCCCAAATTTGTTATTTTGATAAGCATCAATTGTCTTTCATGTACTTTCTCCATTCCACTGTCCATAAACTCTTTTTGACATGTTCTATCATAAAAAAAACTTCAGATTTAAAAAAAGTACAATTAAACTCTCAAACATGCTGGTACAGTTTTGGAAACTGTATGGCATTTAGGAAACTTTTTGGCATTTTATAAAAACCTTTATCATAATTTACAATGAATGTTAAAGTATTATATTATATAATAAATATATAAACAATATAAGTTACATACAGTTTTATTCTCATATATGTTTCAGGATTTAATAATTCTAATACAGTAGAGCGTCGATTTTCTGAATCAATTGGGGACTGGGGTTGTCCGGATAACTGATTTACGTACGAAAAAATAGTTTAACGTATCCGATGTCGAAATTTTTATCCGTTGCGTGTCGCTTTGCGTTGAATTGTCGTCAATGTTAAGCCTAACAAAGACTATTGTATCGTTAAAAATTATTTTTTTATTTTGTACAAACAAAATAAATATATTGAAAAATATAAAAATAATAAAAAATTGCCCACCAGTGGCCGAAATGGTCTTCGTACCCTAAACACTGGGAGTTCGGTCGTGGGTTCGCGCCGCGATCGGACAGGCTGGCTGCTTGGAGTTTTCCGGGTTTTCTCCTTGCCAATAACGACTAAATAGGAGGCCAGTTCCCCATAAAAGTCCTCCCGGAAGGCATTAGTTCCCCTCGCGTAACATCGCGCGCCCCAGAGAAGGCAACGGGAAACCACTCTGGGTAGTAACCTTCCCTAGTATACACCTTGGCGGGTTACTAACCTACGCCAGGTGTCGCCAACGTCAGGAATCTGATATGGCACCAAGAAGAAAAAATTATACTTCAGATGTTAATTTAGTATCAAAAACGTAAAATATTTGAGTAGCCCAAGACATAGCCAAAGATTGAAGTGCCACAGCACTGGCGAAAATTTAATTTTGCCGACTGGAATTCTTTCGGATGATTGACTTTTGGAAAATCGATGCTCTACTGTATTGAATAACATTAAACAACAGATTCTGATATATTTACAAAATAATAAAAAATTGCAGAAGTAATATTAAGATAAAAACATATTAATACACAAAATTATATAATGTTCAGTTTCTTAATTGAGGGGTACAGACAGAGTAAGATAGATAATGATGACCTCTTTGGCATTTTTGACTATGTGTAGTATGTGTAATAATTAAACAATATACTAAACTTATACAACACTGTTATGATTAAATAATGTTTCATTATATTCAAAAAGTCAACATTTATTCATGTAACTTTATTCACTTTCATATGAGCAAACAAATTTTCAGTGCAACAGTGGTCTAATTAAGAAAGAGTGCTGGTGTATCTTCATAAAAATTGTAATATCTCTAAATCTACTTAACAGTTGGATATGTAACATTATACTTAAGTTAAAAAAGCATTACATAGTGGCGTAGCGTGGGTGTCAGCCACCCGGGGTGGAGGAAATTTCGCCGCCCCTTATTTAGGTATCTCAATTTAAAAGACTAAAATATACAGTAATTCTAAAGAACTTTTTGGCAAGAACAATCATCATTATTGTGTATTGTACAGGTTACAAATAAAAAAGCCATTTATATATGTTTTACAATATAATAATCACATTTATTACAAAACTTTTTACACGTATGCCACTTGCATTGATATAACAGGTATAGAACACTTATGATTATACCTTGACGATCAACAAGATTAAGTTATTAAAAATATAACCTACTTTACTGAAATTTACTTGTTCTGATTTTTTTATTTTAATGAATTAAAGCTTGAACAATATAGCAGATAGTCAAACATACAATTGCATAAATAAAAAACATAAATAAAATATTTAATACTCACATAGTCGAATGTATACGTACACGAACAATACAATTTTTCAACAAAGTTCAATAATTTAACAATCACTACATGTACTTATGAGCACAAAAATCACAGTTTGGAAAGCGCATACATATATATGATAAAGTTAATGTGAATTGGATGACTGACGATCCATCAATGAATCTTTCTTTTGAATTGTCAAAGCATCACTCACGGAATTCCCTGAAGGGACTTATCTGTACTGTAATCTAATTTGCAGGTGTTGTTACACAATATTGAACACTATTCTTTATATGATAAAGTCATTTTTGCTGAATATCAGTCATAAACAATCCAAGCACAAAATAAAATATGGGGAATCTCTATAAGTCAGTACAGACAGTGTTGCCAATCACTACAACAGGCAAGATGTCATTATTATACATTCATTTAAAGAAAGGGGATTCCCCAGTTTCGTCACAGAATAAGTAATAAAAAAATTCTGTGCTCATTCAATCGGTCTGAATCATAGGTACGACAAAAATATGAAATGAAATGGTTCAAATTTTTACAAGATATTATTATTTATTGTGAAATTTTGCCACCCCCTAAAAGTTCTGCCCCCACTATGCTATGCCACTGCACATAGTACACCATTACCAATAAAATAGTTTTTTTTTTTTAAATTCCAAGAAAAATCATAAATGTAAAACTAACAAGCTGTTTCTTTTTTTTTTTTTTTTTTTAAAGTGGCTTAGACCACTGTTGTGCTGACTTCCTCAATTGTTTTAGCATGTCTTTTTAATGTCAGAGTCAAATGAAATAAGAATTCTTACTAATTGTTTTTATTTACTTACTCAATGTTTTCAGTTTGTTACCATCATTAATATAAGCAAATCTAAAGTGTTTACAATAAATGGATTTGATCTTATTATAGAAGCAGAAAACTTTTAATTTATTATTTATTTTTATAGGAATTAATTTTTTCTTTCATATATATTAAAGTACTCAACAGTTTTAATTTCTAAATATATAAAAGATAAATGTTTATAATAGTTCATCACTTAAAACAGTATTCAATTATGAATTTACTGGACAGGAAAAAACAAAACTTTAGACATTATTAAAATTTTGTAACAGACTATAATTTGCTAAGTACTTTTATTAAGTTTTATTCTTTATATCTTCAAGACAAAGAACAAAAGTATTGTTTTAATTCAGAGTAAGTAGTATACAAAACTTGATAGTATTGAAACATATTAAGTTTTTAGTTTTATAACTTAGAAGACTTAATAAGACACTGTTCACAAGAACATTTGTTAAAATAAAAATTTATAAATATAAAATATTCAGCATGTAAATATTCAGACGAATAAAATCCTATTTTTTTTATTTTACTGGAAAACAAAAAATAAAATATAGTTAATATACTTCGTTCTACATTGTCCTTTGAAGCTAGGATTCATAAGACTTAAGAAGAATTTTTGTTGATAATAACTGTTAAAGATCAATTTTGTTCATCATAGTGTAGTGATAATTCATCTGTCCAAAAATACAGAAAAAATGGAAAGTTACTCAATTTTATTTTATATGATAATGAAAAATTAAAAATTAAAATGCTATATAAAGTGTGGTAGCAAATTAATTATCACAGTTTTAGAGATACAAAAGAATACTTTTAAAAAGTGAATAGGTTTATTATGTAATTGTTATGTAATAAAACTGTTAGAGTATTCTGATATGATAATTTATCTTTCACTTTTATCCTTAAAGTTTTAATGTTTTTCAGATTTATATGTAAAGGTTTTTCTTATAACTTAACACTATTCTGTGATGAATAGAATTGATTATTAGCAGTAATTATTTTAAGTATGATTCCAAAATTACAGACAAAAGTAGAGAACTTCTTTGGGAATACCAAACAAATTTTCTAAATTAAGTACATATTACTTTAATGGTTGTGCAAATTACACAAGATGATTTATAAAATAAGAGGGATAAAATAATGATAAGTTATATTTTAAATTAGAATAAAACAAAAACAACTAATGTAGTATTGTGTTTGCATTATGTTATATTTGTATCAATCATTTATAGATATAAATACTTGAATGATAGGATTTAAAATTTAATTTCTCATAAATTTAATAAGACATTGTTCTTTCTATCTGAAATCTTACAAAATTTCATCATTTTCTGATTTAATTTATAGCACTTATCTCATCCTTCTTTCAACTTTGGCCAACTAAAGTGAATGAGAATTAATTAAACCAGTGATGGGCAAACTACGGCCCGCGGGCCAGATGCGGCCCCCTGAAATGTTCTATCCGGCCCGCGTGACATTATTCCTAATCTGACGAGTCAAAAAGAATACAGGCTGTGGTGGTTGATGCACCACTTAACTTGAGTGTTCGTTGATTATATAAAATAACCGAAGCTTTATATCTCACCATGAAAGTTTATTTACAATCATGTACAAAATTTTGTTTTACACTTATTGAGTAAAAGCTCGATTGGTTACAAACATGCTTCGGTACAGAACATCCACTCGTCGTGCATAGCGTAGCCGAAAGAGAGAAAAAGAAATATGGCGGACGGCCTGCACATGTTTTTATAGCGCCACCTGGATTTTCAGATGCAGCGCTAGGTTACAATTATATTGGCCCGCCTGAAGTTTTCTTCTTTTCCTTTGGCCCGCTCTTTAAAAAGTTTGCCCATCACTGAATTAAACTATTTGTTTCCAGTTGGACATTCAGTGGCCAAATTTAACTAAGTTAATTATAAAGTTTGTAAATTACTGTTTTCCATATATGTAAAATTTTATATTCTGTTTTCATTACGTTATATTGGAAATTTTATATTTAAATAATAAACTTACTTAAAAAATCAGTAAAAAGCAGTTAAAAAGGAAATATGTAACATTGACTGAAATCAAACTAATAGATTTTAGTTATCATAGGGATAGATTAACTTTATCTGTAAAAAGGTAATGTATTTTATCCCATTTGTTTCACAATTACAAATTAGATATGTTTTTTCCTATTAGGATATTTTTATTTTATATTACATGGAATATTTTGATCAATATTAGTTTTAAACCCTATGATTGATGCAAAATTTGTGGAAAAAAGTGATAAATTTATGATGTTATTATCAATTATAATTTTCTTTATTACATTTATAAAAATTGCTATTTGGGCTGCAATTTGAAAAAATTGTAGACCTATAAATTCCCACTGTTGTATGTCTGCCTTTCCTTAATCTTGAGAACAGTGTTAGAATATGAAAGTCAAGACCAGATATGGAAAACGTAGGGATAGGAGGCTTCAATTAACTATATTTCCTGTCTAAACCAGAAGTCACCTGAATTCAATTTAAAAATTTTTCCTTGAATGACATTACATAGATGACCAGAACGACACTGTTGTTATTAGGAAAAGTATGATGTACAGGGGCAAGACACCAAAAATTTGACATTAACAACATATATTTTAAATTGAATAAATTAAGAATATGATTAAAAATTGCAGTCCATCACTGTGATGATGTGACAAATAAGTGCTTGTTTGTAGTGAATTACTTCAAAATTAATTCACTACAGCAGGAGTTACCATACTTTTTTACAGCAGGCCAGATAACTGAAAGAATGACAAGTGCAGACTGCATAATCAGTTTGTTCAATATATTATACTGAATACACAAAAAAAAAGTAAAGAAAACCAATATATTTATTTACCAATGCACAAGCACGATCTCTGCAGCATGCTCATAATCACTTTCCTTAGAAACTTCATTGCAGGTACTTACACAAAAAGTGCTCTGATATCCAAAGTTGCAAAAAGTCACCAAATTTTTCATTTCACTGATTTTCCTAAAAATTATATTACTGTCAAATGCAAAAATCAGATTGGACCAATTTTGGCATTTTACTTACACTTATTTTAATTTTTTCTACATAGTAAGTTCATCTACAATATAGGATATTTTCATATAAATAATTATATTTTAGCTCATTTGTGGCACAGTGCGGTGGTGGGCCAGATAAAACTGACCTCGCAGGCCGAAGTTTGGTGACCCCTGCACTACAGCATCGTATAGTGAATTTTATGTAATAGAATATAACTAATTAAATTTTTAATGTTCATCATATTTTTATAGTGATGAATTACTAACCATATCTTTTTATTTTTCTGTAATTTGAAAACTATTTTAGCATATCAAATAATAAAATAAATACAGTGGTACCTCGGTATATGTCTGCTTTAGAATACATCCTGTTTGGATGAAACAAATTTTGCTCGGTATACGACTTTTATTCGGTATACGACATAATTCAATTATACGCGCCATCAATGAACAAGTAGCACTATCGGTATACTAGACCAGACTAGACGTTCGCGGTGCAACGGTTTATAACTGTTAAATTTCTTCTGATTTTAATTCGTAAGTAAAATTTTATTATTTTTATTAATCGCAAAAAGGCAAATGAAAAGCGACAGAAAACTAAAAAAATGACTAGAATTACAATGGAACTGATAAAAGAGATTGTTGAGAAATACGAAGATGGCACGCGTGTTCGAGATTTTAACTGTTGCCTACCATATTCCGAGAACGACAATATGAACAATCGCGAGAAATAAAGACATTATTAAATCTGCTAACGTTACGAAAGGGGTTAAATCAATTTCTAAACAGAGATCGAAGACATTACATCATGTCGAGAAATTGCTTTTGCTTTGGATAACTGAAAAACAGTGNAAGCTACCATTTACAATTGGTGAATAATCCGATTGGAGTGTTAGGTGGCAAGCGCGGGAGACTTTCATCCTGTTGAGTTTCGGAAACGTCCGCGTCTCGCACCATCGTCACTTTCGGCGGAATTATTCCCGATGATTTAGGAAGGACCCAGGGATAATCATTCACTGGTCCTTGGCTTCGGAGTGCATAGTGATGCGCAGGTCGCGACGGGGTCTGGGGTTGATCAGCCTCCGCATCTCTTGTGGTGTTTGTAGTGTTTGTCTGTCTCTGCTGCAACGCTTCGAAGATGATCTCATCCCAGGGGTCAATTGGTTCTGTCTGCGGTTGCGCTACAGTTTGGGGTGACAAATTTGCGTTTTGTACATCTATTCTATCTTCTCCTGCCTCTGGTGGCTCAAATTCCAGCCTAGCGATTGCAGGTTTCATTCTGTTAGCATGCGTGTGCAATTTCTTCCCGGATTGGATGTGTTGGACTATAAAATCNATCAAGCAGGAACTAGCCAGGAAAGCGAGGTGTTTAAAGCCAGCCATTTTTTTACACAAGAACGGATTAATCATTTTTACATTACTTCTTATGGGAAAGGTTGGTTTGGTATAAGTCCAAACATCGGGAACGGATTAAGGTCGTATACCGAGGTTCTACTGTATATGTATAAATAAATGTATAGTACAACAATATACAATATATATTGTACATTTATGACAAAAATGTAATTCAGCCTTGACTAAGCCATATTTTTCATTAATGATTCTACTTTAAGTGTTACAGATAAGATGAATAATTTACTAAATTAAAAAATTTTTTAAATTCTAAATTTTATTTATAGATTGGTCGAAGCAAAAACAGATGGAAATTTCATCTAAAAGATGGCATAATGAATTTGAAAGGAAAGGACTATGTATTTCAAAAAGCTGTGGGAGATGCAGAATGGTAGCAGAAAAATCTTGTTGTCATTTCTATCTCCAAACACTTCACAACTGTTATAAAATTGAAGATTTATTTTATTGTCTCCTAATGAAATATATTTTCATAAATAGTGAAGATTTTACTTTTGGAATATATCTTTCTTTGTAATGTAACAAACTGGATGATTTGGACTCTAGCTTTTATTACCAATGCTATTTTAATTTTACATATGAAAGGGACCAAGATTAAAATAGTAATTAATATTTTTATTTAATTGTATTGTGTTTCAATTTTTAAGATCATTTCTCATCTTTAACATTATACTGTAATACCAGGATTTATTTTTCATATATCATGTATTTTAAAAATTACAAACATTTTATCTCAATCCAAAGATTTTTGTCAATATAAAATTACGGAATTTGAAAGCACGCAGTCTTTAAGTACTAGTATTAAATATCATGCAAATTATTATTTCAAAATTTATCATAACAGCATTATATTTGAAATGTTTATTTTATTACAGTATTATCATTAGTTACTTTTCACCTTTAGAAAAAATAAGTTGCTGTATTAAAATGATTTTATGGAAATGTTGTTTGCAAATATTTAATTTTTTAAAAATATTTTAATAGAGGTAAGATACTGTTGTGTAAATTTATGCTCTACAATCTAAACCAAACAAATGTACTTATTTGAATGTATAAATGCACTAAATATAATTTTTATGACAAATTCTGATTACTGTCTTCATATATTATTTACCACTATAATAATTTGAGGAAATTAATTATTATAAAAAAAAACTATTCAAAATCATTCATTCCTTATTAATGGAAATATTTGACTGCATATCAAAACCATTGCAATCATTAATGCAAATTATGTATATATTTAGTTTTTTGATGGAATATCAAAAAATGTAAGTTTCTTGTCAGATTTGATGTGGAGGAAACAATTTACAATAAATTGGAAGTTTGTTTTTCTTTTTTTTTAATATTTCTATTAAGTTTTCTGTTTGTCCTACACCAAAGTATTTAATATGAACAAAAGAGTACATTTTTAAAATTAAAAAAAATTTAAATGCTTTAATAAAATTGCATTTAATACTACTATTAATGAGTTATTATAAAAATTGTCTTACTAACTTGTTTATTTTTCTTTTATATGTGAATATAAACAACAATGAATTTGTAACAAATGAATTAATATAGTATAACTTAATATGATTATAAAATTATATTTAGATTCTTAATCTTAAGGAACATTTTCCATTTAACTGACTTTCTTTCTTACTTTGCCTTATATATTCTTTAATGAAATAATTGATATACATGTATTGAGATTTTCAAATATGAATTTACTGTTTTGATATGCAGTCTTTATCCATCAGAACTAAAAATGGCAAAGTTTACACATCTTAATGAAAACTGATTAAAAGTTCTTTATATTCGCGTGATGAAACTTGATCTTTGAAATGGTTCCACGTAAAACATTAAGTCAGCTTAGTTCAGTCAATTATTATTTAATTAAATGAAATAAAATCTGTAAAAAAGTTTTCTGTTATAAAAACGAGTAACTGATTTAAAATCAAAATGAAATCTAAGAGCTGCCTACTTTCGTCAGACAAAATTATACTCGATCCGGTTCGTTTTTCCCCTACTTAACGCGTGTGGAACCCAATTATCATTGTTTTAGAACAGTTTCAAGTGAAGTGTTTCAACAATACGTGTCTATGACACACTAAAGTTTGTTGCAAGTTCATGAGTTGTTCGTCGGTTTTTTAATTTACATTGATTTTTTGCAGAAAATTCAAGGGACCGTCGAAATCTTCCGTTAATTAATAACTGGTTTTTCGCTATTTACATGTTCCATTATAGACAGGTTTCACTGTATTAATACAATGTTGAATCTGTTTCAAAGAACAAATTCGCCCGATTTAAATATTGCAGTTCTAAATTTATTTTTGTTAGAACGTCTTCCTTTTTCATTATCATTTTAATGATTTTTTTGTAAAATAAAAATTTATTGATTTATGCTGTATTTACAACTGAAAAACTTAACAATGTCATACTATTCAAGAAATCATTTTTTAAAATAAATTACTAGGAAAAAAAATCTTTTCGATTGGATTCATTTGAAAAGACTAGACTTAATATTTGATAGTTTGGAATCGTTCGAATTTAAGATTTTTTTTAATTGATTGCGTCTCTAGTAATTCAAAAGAGACTTGATATTAATCTTCTTAAGACAAAAAGTATACAATATCAAATTTTGTGTGTATATTTACAAACTTTCAATCACTATATACATATTTTAGAGGCCACTAGTGGATAACACTACTGAACACTAATTGTTGGTTATTGGTTTGCGCCTGTTTGTTTTGTTATAGCAACGCAACACTTGGGCGATGCCTTTCGGGATGTCTTTTTAAGGGAAACTGGCCCCTATTTAGGTGTTAAAGAGGTGGAGAAAACCCGGAAAACTCCACGTGGCCAGCCCGTCCGAGCGAGACGCGAATCCACGACCTAACTCCCAGTGTTCAGCGAACGGAACCACTTGACCACTGGTGGACTCTGTATCATCATTAATGTAGAGTGTATGCTCGTTGCAAGAGGTTAACTTAATTGATTTATTAGTAAATGCGATGCATCTGTACTGTTTTTTTAACTCTCCGACCTGTTCACCCCAAAAGGGTATTTTAATTAACCACACTCATTAGCCAGACCCACAATGAGGACTGACAGATGATAAGGAAGAGAGTGGGATAGACCGCATATAAAGAATTTTTTAGATTCTTTCCAGGTTCACCAGTATGCCGCTTTGATGAATCTGGTTCACCAAAGCAGTAGACTGGTGTATTTATCGCCTGGACCACCCCCTGTCAACATTAAGGGATTTTTCAGGTTTTTCATTCCATTTTAATACAGTATAGTCATGTACTGTATCATCATCAAACTGACCGAAGATCTGCACACAGCAGCCTACTCTGGTACAAAATATACAGCAATATCTGCAACGTTTACATTGCATATATAGATTGCTTATCAAATTTTGAGAACATGAAACATTTTGGGTAATCCGGTACTAATCTCTCTCGTTAATACGGCACCTACTGAACCGCTCTGGTACCATAGATTTTGGAGTAACAAACTTTCATTGTAATTACAATTCATTGAAATTTATCAGCATTCATTTTATGTTCACATGATATACATACATTGAAGTCTCCGGATATTTAATTAATTGGATGTCAAGGATCTTATAGAGAAGCGGTTTAAGGGAAACAACAATCGCAGAAAGTGTTTGTGTGTGTAACGAAGAAAAACGACAATCACTAAAACATGACTAATTACTCCTTGTAAAATTTAGGTTTACAAAAAAAATTCTAAATTATCATTTAATATATATTTATTAAATAGTTTTTCGCAATTCGCACAATATGTTTATTACAAAAGAAAATCTTCCTTTGAGTACCTTTTCTAACAAATTTACAGTTATAGTAAGTAACATTTTTGAAAAGATTATAACTTACATATTCAGTTCCTATTGCTTATACATAAACGAGAATAATATGTAAGGCCTACGTATTTTCATGTTGTTAACGGTTCATAGTTATTGTCATATTTAACAAAGGAAAAAAAATCGATTTTAAATAAAATTGAAAATGTAATACAGAAAAATAGATAGTCGTATAAATGTAAAAAACGATATTTAAATAAGAAATATTTCATCAATACCCCTATACATTACACGCAGTTACGTTTGTTTGTATCATTAACAATAGGCACAAAATGGATTAACAGTATCTGTGTCTGTGTGTCACTGAGTTGAGTAAATATTCGAGATAACATCAAATATGTAAATAAAATAACACGCGAACCACAGATAAAACTTCTAACTCGTAATTATTTTAGTAATACAGGAGGAAATGCGTATTTATCATTTTTTTGTTATTTTAAACTATTCGCAGAAGATATGACCGATATTAAAATAAATGACGCGAAAACAAAAATGATGGATGATGCCGTTTAGAAATACAAGAAAATAAACGTTGAACAAAAAACTTCACCCTACATTGAATATTCTATTACATAATTGCAGTTCTTGAAAATCAGCGAATTATTATTCACGATAGCAATTGATACATGGCAAAGTTTTAATGGATTATTCCATTATAAAACAAACACCTTATTGGATTTTCAAATAGGAAAAAAATAATCAAATATTATAAATTAATAATAATATTTTAATACCAAATGATTGCTTTGTAGTGTTTAAAATATTATTTTATTTAAAAATCAATGTTGCATTTTTAATGAAAAATATTTTTACGTATCTTCAATATACTGTAATTTCTTAAGATTGATTTAACACCGTATTATTACTTGCACTTTAGGCTTTAATTATTCCGTTTATTAAATACTGTATAACAAAATTCGCTTAATTAAAAACGTCAATTTTACTGTGATAACGTGATTACCATCAATTTTCATGATACCAAACTACAAACATAAATAAATTTAATAATTTAAATTTTAAGATTATTTAAGAATTAATTTATTATGCATACCGTTGTCATAATAAACCTGTGTCTACCCACTGTGTGATTACTCCCACAACGTCAATAATGTGTGATAAGTCCACAATTGAGCCAAAAATTGGTGCTGGTAGATTCATATTGTAACATAAGGGCAAAAAGCAAGTCACCAATAAAATTTAAACTAAAATTAAACAACAAAATCTAAAATTACATTTTATTAATGAATAATTCAATATTAATAATTTATTTAATTTCTTTTGTTTTAATTAAAAAAAAACTCACGTGTCTGTGGATTGTTCTAGGATCGGGGTCAATGGCGCATTTCAGATGCGTCCACTAGAACCATAGTTACTCAAGCGAAAATATACAGTCGACCCCCTATAAGACGATAGATACGTTCCGTTTTTTATGAAATTGATGTTTTAGGAGACCTTGCCAATCACAGCCCGACACGTGTGAAGTTTACGGACTACGGCTGTTTGAAAGGTTTTCTTCCATAAAATTAATCGATTCCTAGACTAATTTGACTCAACATTTCCAAAACACATATATTTTTTTTGGGAATAATCCGTATAAACTATGCTATAAACAAAAAATTGTAGGATTACTTACCGAGTGTGCACCGTTCGACGTCGCCATTGCTTAAGCTTGTTTTC